TTTTTGGGGGGGGGGGGGGGAAGCCCTTACTGCCTCATTATTTTTTTTTTTAAGGAAAAAGCCCCCCTTTTTTTTTATTTTGAGAAAAAAGCCCTTATTCCTTATTTACCTATTGGTTTTTTCCGCCTAGGAAAAAAGCCCTTATCTGGTTTGGCTTTTTTCCCAGAAAAAAAGCCTTTATTCCCTGTTTCGTTCAGGAAAAAAAAGCCCTTACCACCTGCCTTTTTTTGTTCCCCACTAAAAAGTCTTTTTCCCCTGTTTTCTTTCACACAAATGCCCCTATTACCAGTTCTTTTTCACCAGAAAGCCCTGATATCCCTCTTTTTTTTTTCCCCTCCCAGAAAAAAAGCCCTTATCACAATTTCCTTAGAAGAAAAAGCCCTTATCACTCCTTTTTTAGGAAATTAATTCCTGCTTTTTCACCAACCCCCAATATCGCCTCTTTCTTTTTCAGCAGAAAACCCTTCTTAGCTACTTTTCTTTCAGAAAAAAAACCTCATTTATTTTTTTTCTTTCAGAAAAAAAGCCCTTATTACCTGTTTTTCTTTCCAGCCAAACCTCATTATTCCCCGTTTTTCACCCAAGTGCCCTTATTCCCTGTTTTCTTTAAGGGAAAAAAAAGCCCAAATTTCCTGGTTTTACCAAAAAAGCCCTTATTACCTGTTTTTTCCATTAAAAAACCCTTATCAACCAGTTTTTTTGGTTGTTGTTTTTTGTTTGGTTTGGGTTTTTTAGCAAAGAGCCCTCTTCGGGGTTTTTTTTTTCCAGCAGAAGCCCTAATTTCCTGGTGTTTTTTCACCAAAAAAAGCCCAGATTACCTATTTGGGTTTGAGCAGAAAGTTCTTATTCTCAGGTTTGGCGGAGTTTTTTTTAAGAAAAAACCTTGTTCCCTATGGTTTTGGTTTTTGAAAAAAAAAACAATCAACCCACAATACTTCCCACCTGTTCGTGATACAAAATGCCGTTACTCCCGGTTGTTTGGGGGGGTTAAAACTATAGAATTAATTTTATTATCTAATTATAATTTTATTATCTAATTATAATTTCGTTATACAATTGATTATATAACTAAATTAATGATTATATTTTTTAAAAGCCCATATTAGTTCGGTTCGCGGGGGTTTTTTTCCTTAAGAAGAAAAAAAGCTCTTTTTAACCTGTTTGGGGTTGTGGGGGTTTTTTTCAGGAAAAAGCCCTTGGCCCCTCATGTTTTTATAGCATTAAAAAGCCCATAATACCTGGGGTTTGGTTTGTGGTATTTTATTACCTTATTACCTGCTTTCTGATTACGGCCGGGCCCAGAGAGTCGTGGTGAATGGAGTTCAATCCAGTTGGCGGCCGGTCACGAGCGGTGTTCCCCAGGGCTCAGTATGGGGCCGGT